TATATATTAATATGACTTATGGTCTTCCTGTAAGAAGACTTATCAATAAAATTACTCGACTTTCACAAAATGAAGCAAGATATGAAAATCATCGTATTTTCAAAATTCGATGCCTAAAAGGTGAGATCATTCCTAAATATCTACGTCTACGAGCTCCAGTTCCAACGGACAGAGTTAGAAGCAGAATAAAAGACCTACAAAAATTATGCCTGAAGTAATCTCTGTTAAATCTCTCCTGTTGATAGTGGCTGTTTTGGTTGTTGTTGCTGTTGCTGTTGGCTAGTTATCTTCATCAACTCGGTCTCTTCTGTGTTCACCTGGAGTCCTGTCTTCGCTGCTAGCCTCTTCTCTCAGTTTGTTGGTTCTCACCTGGAAGTCTCCGAGTTTGTTTGAAATCAGATATATATCATCCACGCGTGAAATCCAGATCTTCTAGAGTTTTCTTGTCAGTATGTCCAGTGTATTCCTGTTTTCTTACTCAACACAGCCTGATGCACAATACAGTCCACCACAATTAGGAATATCATTGGTGATGTTAGTAGGCTTCTTTGTCTTACTCCTGTATTTACCTCGAACGAATCACTGAGATCTCCGTTGTGTGTCACCTGACACGTGTCCCTGTCATATAGCAAGCTGTTGAATGAGGCAGATAAAAACTTAGAGCACGCCGTTGTGTTGGAGCAGTTTCTCGGTCAACTCTGCCTGTCAAAGGGCTTCCCGAAGTCGGAGTTTGACTGCCATCCTATGCTTTGTTAGATGACGATATGCGTAGAGTAGCAATTTGATCAGCACGCAATTCGCCTTTTCTGAATTCATCTTCTTCTGGGGGTGCCTCATTCTGCATTCAGCGCATCTTTTATTCTCTCTAGGATGACGCGACACAGTACCTTACTTGGCGGGGACGAACGCGTTGTTCCATGCCGGTTCTTTCAGAGTGAGGCCTAAATCGCCCTTTGGTAGCTTCTGCGTCGGTGGCACAGTGGTTAGGGCTGTCGCCTACCATGCGGATTGTCCGGGGTTCGATCCTCTGCCGACGCACACCTGATATCAATGGTCGGTCTGAAAAATTTGGGCTACCGATATCACATGCTGAAAATTCCATACTTGTACCAAAAGGTACTGTGTGGGATCAAGCTATAATCAAAAAAAGGTAGCTAGCCTTTCTTCCAGTCGGTAGGTACCTTTCTTTCTTTCCAAAACGTTTGCAATAATGGCGTGAGAATGTCTAACAAAGACTTTTTGTTTGTTTTTAATGCTTCGAGGGAAATCACATCTGGTCCTACTGCCTTCTGAGACTTCAGCATCTTGATCGCATTCGGCGTTTCTACTTTCGCTGGAGAATTGTTGTCCACTGGCAAGCAGTTCTGTGTTTGCTATTGATGGTATTTCTGGGGGATTAGTAGGTGATGGTTGATTCAGGAGTCCTTTGAAGTGATCAGTCCATTTAGCGTTTTGTTTATTTCTCTTCCTCCCTGGTAATCAGGTTTCCTTGAGCATCTTTTAGTTGGTTTCATTTCTTTGATGACCTCTTCCCTGATAGAGATCTGTTTTTTTTTTGATTTACAGCTTGATTATCTGATGTAATGTCCTGAGGTCCCTTCTACCTGCTACCTGCCTGTTCTGCTCCAGTTGCCAGCCGGTGTGTCGTAGAATTGTATGTTGCCTTTCCTGCCACTCTGTTTTTCTCTTCTTCATTCAGTGCAGCGTACACTGAATTCAGTGTCCCTTCTGTCGCCTATCTTTGCATTTAGTTATCCTCTCTTTCACCATCTTCCTCTCCTCGAGTAGCTTCCAGGTAGCTGTCCCTTGAGAGCTATTCCTTGTCTTGTCTCTTTTCTCTCCCTAGAGCAGTTGTACATGTTTCCTTGGATATCACCTTCAGAGAGTTAGTTCTATAGTTCCTCCACTCAAGTTTCCTCCATAATGTCAAGTAGTGTCTTTGACTTTCCTTTGGTATCTGTGGTGAAGGCATCCCTCGTAGTTTTGTCCCTCTGTTTGTGAATGTTGAACTCGTATTACAGCTGCCTGTCTCCAGTTGTTTTTAGGGATTTCTGCTTCACCTTGAAGTTCTCCTGAGCTAGCTAGATGATGGTCTGAACCCAGCATTTGCTGCACTTCTTGATTTTGTGTCCAGCAGGCTGGCTGCGTCTCCACTTCCTGGAGCAACACTGAGATCAAATATAACTGATTTGTGGTGTGTTGGCCAGGCGTAACCCTTGTTGTTTCGTGTATCTCCTTGTGCTTGTACACGCTGGCTCCGATCACCAGATCACTGAAAACACATAAGCCTCAGGATAATTCTCCGTTTTCATTTATTTCTCTGAGAGCCTCTGGACCTATGATGAGTTCTCCTACCATATTATCTGCTGCCAGTTTGGCCTGTATTCATATCCCCCATAAGGATTTTGATGTCATCATATGGAATGTTGTCCACTTATAGTTGTCTATAAAAATCTTCCTTCTTTTCTTGTTCCGAGGAGCACTGGATAATTGTGACCTTCCTTCCCTTTGAGTTGAATCTTCCTGTCATAATGAAATTGGTTCCCACTTTATTGAGGCTTTGGATGCGGCTAGTGACATCATGGCAGCCACTCACTGACTCAGTGTCCTTGTGGTTGTTGTCTGGGTGGTCAAACCGGAATAGATTACTGACTCTCCAGTTGACAGTCTTGACAGTTCACATCCCTTCCACCTGCTCTCGTAGATTCCAGGCAATTCCATGCCGTCTCTTAGCATTTCTTCGGCTACTTGTGCGGCCTCAGCAGTTTGATACACTGTACGAACATTCATTTATGTTCTTGCTTTAATTGAGAGAAGGTACATCGGCTGATGACCTTCCTGAAGGTTGGCTTTCACCGGCCCGCTGTGTCATTTCATCATTTTTCTATTCTTAATATTTTACTTGTGCGTTGAAGTTTCTATAGGAAACTCGTTAATTTTGTGGGGGGTTGGGTCGTCAACCTCGCTCCCGATCCTCCCTCTTTAATCAGGCTTGGAACCGGCTGGAAAATAAGTCAGTTATTAAACTAGGTGAGGTACAGCTGTGCAAATACACTACTCATTTCAGATAGCTTGCATCATCGAAGTTCGCTTTATATTTCAGCTTTTAGACGTGCATCTGTCTACCTCACATAACAAAACATCATTTTCAGAAGGATTTGAATGTACTTTAATTGGTCGATTGCATACAAACACTAAACAACTATATTCCAAATTAGCCGTAGTTGTGAACTTGTCTACAGTTTTTCAACATCCAACGCACAAGATGGTTCTCGGGGAAAACTTCACAGTAGAAGTAATCCTCTTAAGACTTGAGAAAGGTGTATCACGTTTAGGGATATCTTGAGTCCCATCAACGCTGTCTTTACGTATTTCAGAAAGGCTTTCGACAAAGTACCTCCCAGTTGAAACTTCGTGAAGTTGGAAACTGTGAAATTACAAGCAGATTATTCAGGAGAATGAGACAATCCTGGACAGTGTTACCTACTTACACACCAAAATGTACTGCACTAGACTTCCCGTACAGCTACGAAATAACTAGATTCAACATATCACCTGTGGTGCTCTACTTAGAAGACCTAAACACTTGAAGAGCGCTGAAGCAATGGCGGGACTTCAGCAGTCTGTTGAGGTGACCCAAAAAGTGGATGCTTCTCATAATAACAGTTTACAGTTTACAATTTATTTAGGATAGTAGGCTATATGCCTGTGTTAATCCTTTCGATTTGCTGCACACAGGAGGTCCAATCTCGCCTTGAATGAATCAACGGATGGCGCTGATACAACGTGTTCCGGTAGGGAGTTCCAATGGTTCACAATTCGATGCGAAAAACGGATCTCCAAACGCAGACGATTCGACCGTGGTTTTTGAACCTTGAGGTGATGTCCTCGCAATTGGTTGGTGCTAGAAGGAAGAAATAAATTAGATAAATTTGCTCCAAAATCATTTCTTAGGATACGATATGCTAGTATTAGGTCAGCCCTAAGTCGTCTGTATGACAGTGGAAATAAATCCAGTCGACTTAACCTCTCTTCATATGAGAGGGTTGAGAAACCCTTTATTAGCTTAGTTCCTACTCTTTGCACCCTTTCTAATAAGTCTATTTCGTATTTGAAACACGGGCTCGCTGCCTGGATCCCATACTTCAAATGGGGTCTGATATAAGTCGGATATAATATTCGAAATATTTCAGCGTCAAAATTCGCAAAAGCTTTGCGTATGGCCCATAATATTCGAAAACCCTTAGTGGCTGCAGCTCTACAGTTTGTTGCTGTTTTCAGGTCATGTTGCACAACCACTCCCAAGTCCTTGTATTCAGTGACCACTGGGAGAGTAATGCCATTCATTGAGTAATTGTGCACGTGACTATGAGATACATGCATAACTACACTCTTGCTTAAGTTAATCTCCAAGGCCCAGTGCCTACACCAATCACTTAACAAGTTTAAATCTTCCTGCAAAGCAAGTTGATCACTGTCATCGTGTAAAGCCCTCCATATCTTGATGTCATCAGCAAACAGTAAGCAGGATGACCTAGCTACCGATGCAAACTATTCAGTCGTCTGCATTGGGCACACAAAGACCAGTACAGGGGTATGGTTGGAATATCCACCTTTTCCGTACATACAGATATGAATCTAAACGTGACAGTAAGCCGCACAGCATGCAGAATGCGGAGCTACTTACGTTATTTAGTGTTTTAGAAAAAGCCGTTGAACTCCATTTATCTTCTCTCATACTTTTCACCAAGTCGAAACATTTTATCAAGGGTAACAAGATAGTTCAAAAGGCAAGAGGAACTTAGTCTCTGTGGAGTGCTTATTCTGCTACACAGTCTTAAACTCTGGCAGCTGATTCTAAAAAGAAGCTGGGTCTTTCACCTCATTCAGCCTCAAGGGGACAGGAAAACACAGATACTAGTCACCAATTGAATAAAACAGCACCAAGCACTTAATTTTTCAACCAGACTCCAGATTTTAGCTCATGAGCGTTGTGAAGAATGTCAAATATATGGTGTCAGTTTTAAATGGTGAAATTACCCTATTTCACTTTAAGCGGTTTTTCAAGTAAGTACGGCACTATCGTGTATGCACTACAATTTATTTGTTTCCCCATCGCTTGGCATCATATCGAACTGCTATTTTTTACTTTGTAATAGCTCTCAAAATTTTAATCAGTGTATGGATTTTACAGATCATTTAGTAGCAGTTATTTTAGTGGTCCTCTTCCAAGCTACCCAAGCTTAGTATAACGTTGAATTAAATCTCGCTAAGTGTGAACTAACTCTAAATAAATAAATTCTGAGAATGTTCTGAAATTATTGATTATGCCCACAGACTAGACCTCAGTGCTGGCTTTCAGTATGACTGGTACTAATTTAACACCCTGTGCTTTCTCCAGGCATTTTCAGAAGTAGATCAGAGCCTACTGGGTTTGCTTATTAACGTTGTTTCAGCCTTCTCGGTACATATTCAGCACGGAATGGCATAAATTCAGAACGAAAATACTTAATTCAGCGCATAGTGGCAATTTTTCAACTTTATTTCAGCATTAAAAGCATCTCTTCTCCTACAAATCCTTTTTTTAAGATTTCGTTGCATTAATTAAGCATTCAGCTTAATTTTCAAGGATGACCAGCGTTATTTAAGTATATGGTGGGTTTATTTTAGGTAGATAAAATATTCATTTACCATAAGAAGCCATACGCATACGTCAGAATTAGTTTAGGATTGTTGTAAGCTTGGGTAGGATTTTCTTCAGACGCCCTGCAGAAATTGGGACAGTTATCCGAAGTCTGTCTGAGGGTTTCTGCAGTTTCCCGTGGTCAATGGTAGCTCGGTTAATAAATAATCAATAAATTTACACATAAATGTGTATGTATATGTAGCGGTAGGTAATTCCCCAAAACTATTGCCCACGGCATTCATCACTGAAAATTGGATTCTGATCATTACTGTTTAAGTCGACTTGTGTCAGCATATGTCGTACTATCCGTGAACTTCACCACCCTCTGCCTCTTAATATACATGTGGACCTACATAATCAGTTGGTAAACACTCTGAGATGTAATCGTGTCCTCCTTTATAGGATTATTCATCTAAATTCCTCAGTCAGTGTGCCACTCTCTAGAGTACTATAGTTCCACCAGGGACGTAGTTTGCAATATTTTGAAGTTCCTGGCTCATCATGCATCTGTGTTGTTGCGTAATTCAAACTTGCAAACGTTGTATGATGAATCCCCAAAAAGAATTCGAAAGTATTGCTTTCGTGATGTTTTCTAAGCATAGTGTTTCTGTTTCTTGGTGAATGACGTGAATGACGCTGTTGTCAATGCTGACATTACTGTAATTCATAACTTACTCTAGTATTGTTCTCTTTATTTCTTTCTCAGTGGTTGGGCTGTAAAGTTATTAACTCTGAAGTCAGATAATCTGGTCCTACACTTAGCTTAATAGTACTAAACTATAGTACTGGCTTCGGAAAACTGTGTTTGGAACAACGAATCTGAACTTGCATTTATTCGTGATGTCAAGCCAAGCGAAAATTCTCATTTAGGTATTCAGAAAACAAAACTGCTGGTCAGAGGGTATTCTTTTCGATAACTATGTCATCATATTCATCATTGGATTTCTGAAAATCATCCTGCCTGATTAAGTAAGGGGCAAACATGGTCTCTTCATAGCACTGTTTTAACTCACCTTGTAGATTCTGAACATGAAGTTGGTTTTAATATGGCATTTAAAGTTATTTATGTCTTTCCAGCTAATCTTAGTTTTGCTTCGCGGGTTTGTCTTTTCAATATTGCTGAAGCTGTCAAAATCTACTTGAAGAAACCTAACTTGTATGTTCAGAATAAACTCGGGCAATAACTCTCCTTACCGTGGCCATCATGACTAGATTTTAAAAGTGTGGCGATTTCCGATTTTGCCTAAGCCATTTACATGTTATCATCGATTTAGCTATCCTGTCATTATAAGTTTTAATTGTCGCATTGAATTCCTCACACATACTGTCACTTAAAGATGCATCTGAGCTGTAATTCTATTGATGTCAACAACTCTATATTGTTTAAAAGGCATTAGTGTTGTCAATGAGATTTATTCTTTAAGTGTTGTGTGTATAAAATTGTAGCACCTGATGAAGAAGTCACCGCAAAGAAAAGCTTTCGCTATTATATATAGATGGCTAGGAAATGAGTTATGCACGCCAAGTTACCGCAGTGTCACCTAACATAGAATTAGGTTGGAAAAAAGTTAGAGGTGGTCAAACCAATATACAACATTAATCTTGGAGTCCTTGCTTTCTATCTCCAGGTGAAATCGGTGTAATAGGGTGAGCAATATTGAGGTTAGGCATCAGTCAAGTGATAGGTAAGGAGGGGAAATCAATAGACGGGGCTGTGAAGCAGTTACATCGATTGAGATGGTTAGGACATGTGTTACACATGCATGCCTAGCCATCGCCTTCCTCGACAACAGGCAATGTTAGCCGACAGGATGGATCAGGTTGGAAAAGAAAAGGCTATAGGTGGTCAAACCAAAACATGGCTTTGGCAGTCAATGAAATCCACAACAGTTAGTTTAAGCCACATAGGAAGGTGTAGGCTTCCTGGTTGTGGTCCTGGGGATGATAAGAACCAATGGCAGTGGCTGGAGACAATTGTTGATATAGCTCAAAGTTGTTCTTAGTCGCGCAGATGCATCCAATCTCTGTGATTTATCATATCCAGTAAAATATTGTTATTCTTTCATATTACTATTATTTTTGGCTCATATTTCTGTTTAATATCTCTCCCTGTACTCTCTTCTCTTGCTTGGTGTGGTATATGGAGTGTGGTGACTCGAACTGCTGCAAAGTTCTACGTTGAAACACAGCTCGTCAGTCAGTAATTATCTTATTACTTATGATGTATACATGCATTCTCTCACTTGTATGTCAAAGACTTCTTTGATATTTTGCAGACATTTCAAGCAAATCTGAATCAAATATGGAGAGTTCTCTTTATCAAACTTTGGAGACATACAATTCCGAAGTAAAACATCGTCCAATAACTTTAATTGTTTACTGTACAGAATATTATAAAAGCATCTGTTCTGGCCAGTGTATGGCTGAGTTATCAAAACAAGAGTATGACCTTTGACGAGGTTTTGACAGAGGCTGGAAATTATTTCCAAGAATATACTGGTAGGTCTAATTTTTATTCTCGTATGTATATTGTGGAATGTCTTTATATGATTATACGTTGAAAAAGAATATCGTGTATAATTTATTTCTTGTGTAACCCTGTTGAATACCCATCGGGTATCCTGTTTATTTTTAGCATAGAACTTCGCACCGATGTGCAGCAGTTCAAGTCGCCACACTCCCTCCATGTAGCACACTAAACAAGAGAAGAAAGTAGAAGAAATGAATAGTAGAGACAGTAAACAGATGTGTGAGACAAAGGAATAGTAATGACGAAGAACAAAACAGTTTCATTGAAAATCATAAATCACAAAGAGTGGATGCATCTGCGCCATTGAGAACGGTTTTGAGCCATGTCACCAATTGTTTCCAACCATTGGTTTTTACCGTCCCGAGGACACCAACCAGGAAGTCTACACCTTCCTACGTGGCTTAAACTAACTGTTGTAGATTTCATTGACTGGTGCCATGTTTTGGTTTGACGGCCGCTAGCTCTTTTCCACCCTGACCCTATGTCAGCTAACATTACCCGTCGAGGAAGGCGATGACTAGGCATACGTGACACATGTCCTAACCATCTCAATCGATGTAATTTTACAGTCTCGTCTATTGATTTCCCCTCCTTGTCAACTAGAACTCGATCGACGCCTAACCTCAATATTGCTCACCTTATTATACCACTTCACGTGGGAGAGAGAACGCAGTCATCTATGATCAAATACTGCTAGTCTTTTCATCTCCTCCACTATCAATGGCCAGGTCTCGCTCACAGCCATAGTGAAGGAGGACGGAGCGGACTGCTGAGCAGTACACACACCCTTTGGTCAACAGACAACGGGATATCACGTCTACTAAGCCAGAGATGGCGTAAACTGGCAAATGCGAAACTAGCCCTCTGTATTGTACTGAGATTTCGTTAGAGATCAACCCGTTGGCGCTAGCTGATGGTACTTCCCAAATTAGTGAAGCGGTCGACGTGCTCTACCAACCACTTCACTCCCTATTTCTAAGCTAGGAGTCAGTGTGGTCCAGTGTATCCATTGTATATCAGCGTGTTTGACTAAATAGTAATGAGTTATTACATAAGAATATTGAGATTATCGTAAGTTATAAGTTGCCGTCATAATCTGTAACATCTGTAAGGGTGCATCTACCTGGAATCAAACGCTGACCATTAGCGTGTTTGGTGAGCATTCTGCTGTTAAACCTCTTGCACTTACCTAGACAACATGGTCTCAACAATAGTTGACACGTATGAGGATATTATGGGCAGGATCAAAACAAGCAAGACAGAACCGCATTACTCTGAAGTTAGTCAGCATTCAGCATAGATGTCAAGTCAGTCAGTCAGTCACTACTTCCATATACTTCAGAGACTAGGCGCGCGTGTTGTGGAAAGCCCTTCCAAAAGCATTCCGCAAACTTTGCTCCGGTGGTTCGACAGTGAAGATTAAATGTTTAGGGAAGATCTCTGACAATGAACCTATCACTCTGAAGCAACCAGTGATTGATGTCACTCATGAGATAGGCTATCTATCGAGTGGAATCGGAATGGGAAACGACAAACTTTAATTCCATGGGTGATTTAGAGGGGATCATATGTGGAGGTGATGTGAAAGCTTGTAGGTCAGTTTTGGAGTTAGCTGAAGGATGACTACGGTGAACTGGTGATTTGCTGCTGATGCTCTATGTTCCATCCTGAATTCAAGTGATTATTAATAGTAATAGTTGACAAATGATTCCTTTCTTATGTAACCAGGAGAATGTTAGGGACATATCAGATCTCTCATTGACAGACTGATTATTGAGGTAAAAACTATTATGACTTGTGAACTAATTGTCATCCCAAGTTTCTAAGTGGTCTCAAAATTCTAGTCTCTTACAGTTTATGTCACACAAGCGTCAGTTATAAATAGACAGCAAGATAAAATCAAGACAGTCAATAATATTTACAATTTATCGATGTGCGTGGATGATTTCCTTGTGAACCTTTTAAAGTTTGTAAAATGGTCATGTTTAAAGGTCGATGAATCAATCGATCCTTCGCCTGATTCCTTTACTTTCCGAATGTATTATGGGGCCTTAAGTTTCAATAGTGGTCATGTGATTGCTTTTTCTTTATGAGGTCAGATTGCTTGCCTCACGGTCAGCCTTCCCTCTTTTCTGGGCCTACTTACTGCCTAGCAAATTAGACCAGGTTTAGAAGTTTATCGGCTGCCGAGAATCGAACCTGAACTGAATTCGGAGTTGTTGATAATTTTAACATTTAACTATAGAAGCGGTCGATACCAAATAGCAATAATAATAATAATTTGCTTTATTCCACAACAGTAGTAATTATGTTACTGCGTGGAATTCTCAGCACTAGGTACAATCCCCCATCTAATTTACTCGACAACAGCAAACACACAGGGTAAAAAATAATATCAAAAGATTGATAACAGCAGCTGTTTTGGCATTTTCAGTGACAGTAATGTCAAAAATGTACAAAAAGTGTAAAATATTGATGATGATTTTAATAATGTTAATACCTAAAATTCTGAGTTAATTTTCTATAATTAGTTTGTAAGGATTCGTTTTTATTTTTACGAGCTCATCACGGATTGATATCAGTTAGAGAACCCTTGAAAACCAACCAGGGGGTACTGGACAGCTGGTTCATCCTAGTGGGTGCGTAATACCGATGATTTCCAAACTGGTTTCAACGGTTCTCTAACTGATATCAATCCATGATCAACTTATAAGTTAATTGAAATGGTATCACCATGGATTACAAATTGAAGAGAATAAACGAGCCAATTATTTTGCTAATTACATAGTAAATCGTAGGTTTCGCGCTTGACGTTAGCCCTATCATATAGACTGCCAGCTGAATAGTGTAACTTCAAGTTTCTGTACTTGGTTGTACGAGAGGAGAATATAATCTTTTATAATGACTTCTACTCCACTACCTGATGAGATTGAAGAAGGGGAGAGTTGAGAACAGAGAGAGTGCTCAGCGTCGGACAATATGGATTTAGACTATTTTTCACATGAGTTCACATGTGTATGGACTATGACAGTAACGAGCTGACTTAGTGGCACGCAAGTTGTCCTACTGACAACTTTCAGTACTCTTCACAATATGATATACTCCTTTATGAGTAGCCCAGGTAAGACCTAGGATGGAGAGCAATAAAGCACAGTAGGTAGGATGCAAGAGTTAACAAATTGTAAATGTAGAGGTTGAATGATACCTGCCTGCTTGTTTTAACTTCGTAATGCAGAAGGTTAGATGGGACATTCTCTTAGAAATCAGCAAGATGTGGAATGACCATGCCAGGTCAGAGGACAGAAGTATTCCAAGGTATTTTTTGCTTGACTTAGTTTCTCTTTCAGTGACCTCTGTGCTATGCTACAAGCATCATGTGAACGAACCGGTTCATGTAGACCACCTTTATGCCTAAACATGAAGTTAGTTGTCTCGTAGCGTGACCATTTCGCAATGTCTTCTTCGATGAGTTACTGCCTCATCTTCAACCCGCTGTACCATACTGACCACAGCTTCCCATTAAAACCCCAGGTCACTGCCTGGGGTGAAATCTTGTGATGAAATCCTCTACCCAACCAAACAAAAGTCCCTACAAAGCCAATACTTGAAAATTATTCTGATGCTCACTAGCGACTGGCCCTATTCGTGTAGGCAGTTACATGGGGTTCTAGTAGGGAGCCGTGACCAGTAGGGTAATGCAGGATGAAGATGAGGCAGTAACTCATCGAAGGCATTGCGAAATGGTTGCGCCATGTAGTGAATTGGCAGAAGTTAGAATTTATGGGCTTGCCATTGAATCGGGTCCCAGTGGCTCAATGGTCTACGAGCTCGCCTTGTAACCAGAAGGTCCTAGGTTTGAACGTCAGTGGACGCATACTAATGAAGAGTCCCAGTTGGTTTTCCAGTGGTTCCTTAACTGATGTCAGCTCATGATGAAAGTTGATTTCCTTTGAAAGAGTCAGGTCATTCATGTAAGGAGGACGAAAAAGGAGCAGGGGAGAGAACAGCACCCTAAGCAAGGCAGTGGGAGATTCGCCATTATGTACAGTATACTACATTCTGTTAGGGAAATAAGAATGCAATCAATTAACGGCCTAAAACTGTTGATGTCATGGGAAGCTTATTTAACGAAAAGCATCTGAGTACGAGGTCAAGAGCAGATGTGTAGTCGGGGGTGGTACGTCGAACTAGAATATGGGAGTCCCAGAAGATAACTAATCAACGTAATCAGAACAAATAAAAACTCACTTGGCAGTGAATTAATGCATGGAGATGCTGTCTACCATGAGAATAAAAGCTTCACAGTTTAATCACCTAACCTGCTCAGGCAGCCTTACCTGAACTACAAATCTTCTTCATTCTTTTATTTACAATTCTCGTTACTTTTTTGTGTTGCTTAATTCTGTATTTAATATTCATTAGGCTTAGAAGATTCTAATAAATATCCAATTGTTGTGGAAATTAAACCAAGTGGTGGACCGGCATGTGAATCTTTGTTCACTCTGTACAGACGCTTACCAGGCAATCAACAAAGCAACATGAAGAACAATAATGCTTCAAATGTTTTCATTAGTGAATGGCCGAAATTTCCTGTTTACGTGAAGTAAGCTTTTCTTTTTACGTTCAGTGTGGAACATCATGTTTCAGGCTAGAGCTTTGAAGTCTCCTTTATTGATTATTATTATTACTATGACTCCTTTGAGTTTCCAGTGGAACATAGGGCTTCAACAACACATCTCCACTTTGTTATTTTTGGTTCTGTCTTCTTCAGCTGCGTCCACGATTGCTCATATTCTCTCATCTCCTCCACTCCAACTCACACGATCTCCTCCATGTCACCCTCACACTGACGACCCACTCGTCGCTTCCTATCAGGATTCATCTCGAGTGATGTCATTCGACGGCCTCTTAAACATATACTCGATCAATGCATCTCCATTTTCTCCCAAATATTTGTTGAGCGACCGGCTCTTGGTTGGTTTGTTCTCAGCCAGAGTTTCTTGATGCTAATTCTTTCTGGTTGGCCATTTGATCTTCAGTAGGAGGCCAGCGAAGAAAGCTGTTGATAAAAGTCTGCACGCTGTTGGAAATCCTTTTCATGACACGCAATTTAAGTTTCTGACCCGTATAGAAGCAATAACTGACTGGCTTAACATTTGTGTTGAAAATCCAAATCTTGTTCTTTATGCTGGCTGGTTGAGTGCAGGAGATTTCCATACTGATATCAGGTTGATGAAGGCGTATCTTGCCTTTCCGATTTTGGCTGACTGGCTTTGACATCTTCATCCGTTCCACTGGCCTGTGGTTGAAATTGGCTGAGTAAGTGAAGGTTGTTGTTGCTGTCGCTGGTTGGTTGGTTGGTTATCTTCATCACCGCTGTTTTCTCCATGTTCACCTGGGATCCTGTTTTTACTGCCTACTTCTTCTGTCAGCTTGTCGGTTTTTCACCTGTAAATCTCAGAGTTTGTGTGACACTAGACATATATCATCTTCGAAATCCAGGTCTTCTAGAGTCTTAATTATTGGCACAGCTTATTCCTGTCTTCTCACTCCCACGCACAGTCTGACGCATATTGCAATCCACCACAATTAAGAATATCATCTATGGTAGTAGGCCGCCTTGTATGACTTCTGTATTCACTTGAAAGGTTTCTCTGAGTTTCCTGTTGTGGATCTCCTGACATGTGGCATTGTCATATAGCCAGCTGTTGAATGAGGTTGATAAAGACTTGAAGTAGTTTCCAGATTACTTCTCAGTTGGAGCTATTCCTGTCTAAGGCCTTTTCGAAGTCAGCGAAGTTAAAGCAGAGGTTTGACTGCCATTCTACCTTTGCTTCAATAACGATGTATGTATTTTCAATTTGATCAGAACATAAAGTTTCGGTAGCAATGGTTTCCTATTTTTATGGATGGAGTTGCTAGCCTTATGCCCAAGCTTCTCTCTATACCGATCTTACTACCGGTTTAAAGAGGATTAAGAATGTATCGACCGAAAATCGAACTCTACACCATGTGCGTGGCTGGAGAGCGTTCTACCGCTGAACCACCGACGCACTAATTAGCATTGATTATTTTATTATTGTCTTCTTTAGTTCCTAGAGGAACACAGGGCTTCAGCCGCACGTCTTCAATGCGTTCGGTTCCCTGCCAACGTTTCCACCTCGCTCTACATCTGCCTACATACTTTCATCTCTTCTCCGCATGACCTCCTCCATGTCACCCTCGCACTGACGACCAACTCGCCGCATATATATATATGAATGTAATTAAACAAATAATAACTGTCGTCCGTCGTACGAGAGGTGAAATGCTCCCATATGACCGGGCGTCTTACATAGCCTCTCCTGAGGAAGTCCTACTCACTGCCTTCACGTGGCGGAGATGTTTCTCACCAAAGTGAGAGGGCGAAAGCGGATACCTGGCGCTTTTCACCAGGTTGACTGTTCATTGGATGACAGTCTAGGGGAGATGGCTAAACCCTGATTCCAAACCTCCAACGACTGGCGTATGAAGCTCACTGGAGCTCACCGGCAGACGTATGGACAAGGGGCTTGTTGGATGTCCTGGATGTCTGGCCCCATTCAAAAAGGCGTATGAACCGAACTCCGGTCACCGGCTGCCAATGGATAGTGGACTCCCTACTCCACTCCTACTGCCTTGTAGGTCACACTTGGTTGTGTAAAGGCTAGAGCTGCACTCTCAAACAAAAGGCCGAGCGATTCTGGGGACTCACTCATACCAAATTCCCATGAAACTTCATGAACTCTCTTACAATCGACTCTCACCATGCCTGGGTAGCGATGGTTCGAGATGTTCATGAAGCCGGCTCATCCTCCCGTAGGAGATAGCCGAAGTAAAGTAAAGTAAGTACGAGAGGTGGCTCTCGTGACCCATGTCACCCAGTAGATAACACTTTGTCATCTAAAACGATGAGAACACCATCGCTGGTTGTCTCAGTGGGAAGGCACAGGCACATCCAGCTAGAGTTGGTGACGAGTTCCAGAAAATAGGACGATATTCACAATCCACTTGATCCCACGTTTCTGGTCACCATCTACCAAATAACAACATTTCAGTCCTCAGACAGTATGGAAGCGTCCATATGCTAGGAGGCGACATGCCAAAACAGAGACTAAACATGGATCCATTTTATTTCGCCGGTTCTCTTCATCTGCTGAGTACAGTTCATAAGGTGTTGTTGTGAAACGTTCTTGTGAAACGTTTTATTTTATTTACCTATAGTCATGACGAATCAATCCTCTAGTAAGTAAGGATTGTTGTAAGAAAGTCTCAGCAGAAAGCAATACAAATGGATGATAAGGGTGATCTGACATCAGGTATTAGTATACAATGTACATTTTATGGGTGCAAAGTTTCTCTGTATAAAAGATGAACAATTTTGTTGTTAAGATGGTGAAAAATAAATGATAACTGCGTAATCAGAGATAATAAATTGTACAAATCATTTCAACAGCATCTATTTGTAATTCCGAGCAGCGATCTGACTGGTTGGTCCAAGGTCATTTGACTATGGCTTTCATTCCTTACTATTACCGGAAAATCAAAATTAGGTGTGTACGAACGAAGTTGAATGAAAAGACGATGATGATAATGATGGTGTAATATACATCGACTATGAAATCAGAAGATGAAGAGGTGGTATAGTGGTTAGGACTCTCGCCGACTATGCACATTTTCCGGGGTTCTATGCCCTGCCGACGCACACTCGATATCTATGGTCGGCCTGCAAATTTGGGCTACCGACATCACATGCTAAAAATTCCATACATGTGCCAAAAAATACGGTGTGGTTTCAAGCTGTAATCAAAAAAATCAAAATTAAGACAGAAGGTAACTGAAAACTCATGAAGTACAGTGAATAACTCGAACAAATGAACATTCTGAAGGACTGATTACTGAACATAGAATATTCACATTTTCGATGACCTGCTCTTTGTCAGTCTTTACAGTTCTATTTCCATAATAATGAAAGAATTAGGGTTAATGTTTAAATAACATCAAATCAGTCAATTCTATGAATAAATTACGGTTCAATAGCATCCACATAACAATACGCTGAATGTCAGACAAGTTAGGACAATTAACAATGCGGAGTTCATGAATTTCTAGGCTCTATAGAAGGCCAGGCAGTAGTAGTGGTTGGACCTATTTTTGCCGTACTTATAGCACCGATTGTTTCAAGTGAATCACGATAGCTTCTACTGTTTGGAGTATTCGGCTGGTACCTGGATGGTTATGGCTATTTATTTGGTACTCGATAGATGATGATGGAGAAGGATTCTTCATTGCTGGCTTTGTGACCTGTTTGAACTGAGTGATGTAATATCGAGCTGTTGAAGATTTTAATTACACCTTTATTTAGCAACAATACTGGTAGAAGTTCCCCATTGTGCACGAAAAATCAAGTTCCTAGAGCGACGGCCAATATAATTCGCTTCGCAAGCGCAGTTGAACTGATAGATACCATGAGGGGGGGGCTAGTCTAGGTACTTCGTCTTTCAATCTAGGAATCACAATTGGCTGTATCGGAAATATAACTTGTATTTTAACAGCATTAAAAGTTCTTTGAATAAATTTTCTTAACTTGTTAGTAATTATTTCGCAAGGTACATCGCCCTTGAATTGCGTTATTATCAATATATAACTGTAAAACCCGGTGAAGAGCAAGTTATCCAAAATGTGAATATTCTTCGTTCAGTAAACAATCTTTTGAAGTTTCTAATGGATATTTTTGAAGATTCCTGAACAACTGCACCACCATCAACAACAGACAAAATCAGTAAAAATGAGAGAAATCTGGAAGAAGCAACTTCCTTTACCCAACTACCTACCTACCTGCCTTCCTACCTGGAAGCATCGTTTCAACTACAGGCGGACGGAACTGAGGAGGATATCAAGGAGAGGAGCGGGAAAGCAGGGCAAGCTTTCATTACTCTCAAGTCTGTGTGGAGGTCAACATCACTCAGTATGAAAATGAAAATAAGATACGGATTATCAACTCCAATATGAAGTCAGTGCTGCTCACTATATGGATCAGAGACTTGGCGCCGCGTGACGAAGGGTACTTCGAACAAACTACAGACTTTCCTGAGCAACTGCTATCTTCGCTCAAAATCAGATAGCGGGCTAGAAAAGATCAGAAACGGGGGATCTCTAGCAGCGAGCGAACCGACCCAGCTGGAACCTACTTTTTAACAAATATGCAGGAAGAAATGCAGGTGGATTGGCCATACTCTGAGAAAACAAACCATCAAGTGACACCACACGCCAGGCCATCGCTCGAGTGGAACCTGAATAGGAAGCGGTGAGTTGGTCGTCAGTGTGAGGGTGGGGTGACATGAAGGAGGTGATGTGAAGAGTAAATGAAAGGATGTGGGAGGCGTTTAGCCAGGTTAAAACTTTGGAAGAGAACCGAAGGCAATGAAGACGTTTGGCTGAAGCTCTATTTTCCTCTAGGAACTGAAGGAAACAATAGTAATAACATAATTTCTGATCAATAATTAAAAATCATCATTCATAGAATTATTACCATTTGAAGTTAATTTTTGGATGGTGACTAGCAGTAGAATCCAGGATCCGCATTTCGTCCTATTTGAGACTCGTCATCTGGATGTACCAGCATTCCGAAGTGAGTGATGATGTTCCCACCGAGTCTCGAACTCAGTGGCCATAGTTTGAAGCATCCAGATGACGAGTCTCAAATAGGACGAAACCCACATCCTGAATTCCATTGCAAGTCACCATCCACTAATTAACTTCTAATTACATGAGCAGACATCTTCGAAGCGTCTGCACAAGAAGGCGACACGTCAACCTGAGACCGAACACTTCAGTTCACGGGAAAATCTAAAATTAAATTAAATATTACTATTTGAGTTTTACCCTCGACATCTCTTTTGTTGTTATTGTTGTTGTGTGACCTAAACTCTTTTATTTACACTAGACATCTCAATGTTGAATCTATCCAACAAGATGAATTCATAGCCAGGACAGCGGAATTCAGTGAACAGTTGATAAATATGAATGTTAACTTCAGTTCAGATCCATATTATTGGATTATATATAATGAAGGAGGTGATGCAGAGATCTGGATCAAAGCTGATTAACGCTGATCATCATTAATCAGATCAATGATAGAGTATACACATATCATGATTTGTGAAACATCTCAGGGCAGTAGAATTCTGCTTATTTTTATAAATTATATATATGTTATATATTTTAGATTTTATTTGGAATTATATAAGATATTTCTTTTCAACGACTTCATTTTCAAGCTAACTGTACGGCAGTCGTATTTATATTACGGAGAAAGAAGGCAATAATAAGTGGCACTAGGAATTGCTTAGTCAGTATTGTACAAATGATAAACACGAATATAATTAAAATGATGTATTAAGTGGGGTAGTGCGTCAGTGGTACACCGGTAGAATACTCACCAATCACACCACATATGGTTTGGAGTTCGATCCCCGACCGACAAGGCACTCCTTTACCTCGCTAAACCAGTAATAGGACTGGCAAAGAGGGAAGGTTGGAGGGCATGAGGCTAGCAATCCGATCCCGTAAAAATAATCACCACTGCTACAGAAACTTCAAGCCTGTAGCTAGAAGTGGATGAATTACAAAGATCTCAAAGATTATTAAATAAGTGAATTGGTGTTAAGATGCTAAAAAGCAGTAGGTGAAGTGATGATAACAATGTAGACAAAACCCAGTGGGTGAGTGCTATCGATGATGCCCAAACTAGGATGAAACAGCTGTCCAGTACTCCAGTGCTGGTTTTCAGTGGTTCTCTCACTGATATCAATCCATGATCAACTCGTAAAAACAAAACCAATCCTTACAAACCAACTATTGAAAATTAATTTGATACTCACTAGTGACTTGCTACAGGACAGAGTTCTTGGAGTTCTGTTGAGAAGTCGTGACCAGTGAGCTCCATCCAGTCAAGTGTGTGGATGGATTTCCCACCGACGACATTGGTTGGTGGTCGCACTAAATGCATCACGAATTGGTAAAAGTTAGAATTCATGGACTGGCCATTGAGGTGGATGGGTCCCAGTGGCTGGATGGTATACGAGCCAGCTTGCCTTGTAACCGGAAGGTCCCGGGTCCGAACCCCTGGCAGTGGATGCGTACAGCCGATGACTCCCAAAGTAGGATGTAACAGCTAGCTGTCCAGTAGTCCCAGCTGATTTTCAATGGTTCTCTAACTGATGTCAATCCGTGATCAACTCGTGAAGACCGAAGAGATGAAATGAAATGGAGTAAATTCAAGTGGTAAAATAGAATAAAATAAAACAAAAGAAAATTACTATGACCGAGGGTAAAGAAAGGGGTTTAACACAAAACGTCGTTTTCGAATACCTAATTCAAGTTTCTGTCCATGCATAAGTGGAGAAAACGTAAGCTATTGAAGTGGTTGGATTTTCTCCGCCAAGTGGATAACTTTAAAGGATAAATCACATGTGGTGACTGAATGACCTGACTCCAGAAGCTGTTCACAAATTAAAAATTTCGCCGTTCTATGCTCTCCTTTTGTTAACATTAGCGGGTGGTAGTGTTTAGCTATACGTTTACGGAGAACACGCTTGCAACATCCAATGTAATCAGCAGCTCCACACGAGCACGTGAATGATTATATACGCATACGTATATATTGACTGGACTACGTCAACTCCTAGCTTCGTGATAGGGAGTGAAGTGATAGAACATGTTGACCACTTCACCTATTTGGGAAGTTGTATCAGCACCAACGGATTGATTGGTGACGAAATCTCAGCACGGTTCCAAAAAGCTCGGGCTGCTTTCGCTAACTCACACCGTCTCTGGCGTGGGCGTGATATCCGGCTATCAACCAAGGGACGTGTGTACTGCTCAGCAGTTCGCTCCATCCTTCTCTATGGTGGTGAGACGTGGCCATTGAGAGCGGAATACATGAAAAGGTTGACTGTTTTTGACCACAGATGTTTACGATCTCTTTCTCGCGTTAGGTGGTATAATAAGGCAAGTAATGTTGACGTTAGGCGTAGAGTGTTGGGCAAAGAGGGAAAATCAATCGACGAGGCCATAAACTTTCGTAGATTGAGATGGCTAGGTCACGTGCTGCGAATGCCTAATCATCGCCTCCCCCGACGGGCATTACTAGCTGATATAGGTGCAGGTTAGAAAAGATTAAGTGGTGGCCAAACAAAAACATGGCATCAATCCATGAAATCCTTGACAGTTAAACTAAGTCAGGTAGATAGATGCAGATTTCCGGGTTGGGGCCCTCGGGACTCTAAGAATCAATGGCTGGAGACAATAGGTGACATGGCTCAAACTCATCGTTGTCAATGGCTTACGCAGATGTATTCAGTCTCTGTAATCTTTCATATTCCTTTCTACCATTACTTATTCTGTTCCACTCTTATACTTGTCAAAACTCTATTGATTCTCTTCACTCATTTTCTTGTCTACCTTTGTGTGCTATTTGGAACGTGGCAACTCGAACTGCTGCACTTCGGTGCCAAGTTCTATGTTGAATCCAGCCAGCCAGCCATATACGCATACATAAGCCATTGTTTATGCTTCACTAATTGTCAAATCACATTTAAGGCTGGTAAATACTAAATGTAAGTCAGCTACACAAAAGGAGCCTTTAATACAACATTTAGATAAACGACTTTTGGTTGCTTCAGAAATAGTGTCACATTTGAAAGCCAAACTCATAAACAATGTCTTCTTTGACACTGTGATCTGGGTGGGGACGGTTTGTTTCTTGATGTCTCTGTTGATAAACCTTCTAGGATATGCATTGCTTAAGAGAGTTTTGCGAATATTTTCTAGTTCTATATCGATTTTGTCTATAGTGCAGATTTTCCGAATCCTGGAGCATAGAGGACGGATAAGACTTCTCTTCCTACCTAGAGGTACCCAACTGTTGAAGTTAGTGTACTACCTTGTAAATGTTGGCTTTCGATAAATCGACCTATTTAACGTGCCATCCTCTCTTCTATCTAACATCACATTTAAAAAGTGAAATGCTGAATCCGACTCCTCTTCAATAATACATCGTTTAAGTTATTTTTATTCTTATCATGTGTATTTTATGAAATTAAGACATCTGGGCATAGCCAAGGCATGAGCTATCCAAAAGCTCAAACCCACGCTATGTCCCTGCCATGGCCATCATAAACAGGTAATCCTTTTAGTAATGACCATCCCATTGACTTTCTTATCCAAACTTTCTGTTTATTCATGTTATTTTTAAGTTTTTCTTAGTCCCTCCTATTTACACTACCATATTTTCATATCCGAACTTCCTGTCTATTTTGTCATTTTATTATTTCTACATATTTAATCCCTGATCGCATAAACAATTATTCGTCACAGTAGTTATGATCCCACTAGATTTTTTATCCAAACTTTCTGTATATTTTTGTTATTTCCACATTTCCACCCCCCAACTGCACAATCAATGTCAATCTTCTCAGTAATTATGATGCTACATTGTTTGAGTTTTATCCGTGCATCCTCTTCGTTTATTATGGCATTCTAATTCCTAATTGTAATTTTACTAATTTGGCGCTTAACCGGAAATTATTCTGGAACTTCCCCATCCATTTGTTATAAATACACGAATGTACAGCCTAGTTGACGGTGGATTTGAACAAAGCAATAACTACAGGACATGGTTCAGGGAAAAAGAAGCGGATGTATTACTGTTTATTTCCTCGGTATTTAGTGGACACAAGACATCTCGAATTCTTTCAAAACAATAAACACATAGTCGGGCTGAAGTCTCTTTAAGTTCACAGAGGCTGTGACTATCACGAATGATTAAAATTTGACTTATATTCAGAAAGAACCTACCGTAAGTCTGAAGAAAACTCGACTTTTAAGCTTCATTGTTAATAAGAACAAACATTTCAGCGAAAAGTCTATTTCTTCCGGTGACGAATTCATTCATCTAGCTGTACAATCGCAGCCCCAGCGGGGTGATCGTTAAAGAAATCTCAGCATGGATACAGACGGATCTTTTGGCATTTACCAACCTGCATCATCTATGGCGTAGACGTGATATCCGACTATCGACAAAAAAGGACATGTGTAATGCTCAACAGTTTACCCCGTCCTCCTTAATAATTGTGAAACACGGCCAATGAAAGTGGAAGGCCTGAGGAGGCTAGTTGTCTTTAGTCACAGGTATCTCCGTTCTATTTTCTATATCATGTGGTATAATAGGCTGAATAATATTGAGGTGAGGCGTTGAGTGTTAGGCAAGGACAGAAAATCAATTGGTTAGGCTGTAAAGATCTATTGATTCAGATGACTAAGACATGTGTTACGCACGCTTAGCCATCGCCTTCGTTGACGAGCAATGTTAGCTGCCAGTATAAGATCAGTTTGGAAAAGAGAAAGCTAGTGGTATTCAAACCAAGAGATGATTTCATCAGTCAACGAAATCCACAAAAGTTCGTTTCAGCAGGCCACATAGGAAGGTGTAGATTGCCTGACTAGTTGGAGACCACTGGTAATTTGGCTGGCTCAAAATCGTTCTCAGTAGCTGGCGCAGATGCATTCGCTCTTTGTGAATGTTTCGTCATATCTAATAAATCTCTGTTCTTCTTCCATATTACTATTCTTTCTCCCTCCCTCACACTTCTGTTTATTATTCGTCTTTTAATGAACCTCTCTATACTCTTTTCTTTTGCTTTGTGCGGTACCTGAAGGGAGAGTGGCAATTTGAACTGCCACCCATCTGTGCAAAGTTCTGTGTTGAAACCAGTCAGTCAGTCACAATAGTTATTTCTGTATGTGTGTGTATACATTAGGGTGTTAGACGAGAATAAAAATCAGTCAGGTTATTGTTTACATTAGCGAAATATTTCAAAAAATGTGACGAAAATTCAAATTGTAACTAGGATAGGAGGGGTTGCGTGAATATTGGTAAGTCTTGACTAGAGTTGTGCAATATGAAAGAAGTCCATAAAAGGGTGTTAATGAATGAGCATGGAGACAAGTGTCCAAAATAAATTATGTAATAGGTGGAAAGAGTAAATGGAGGGTTAATTAATACCATGAAAGTTGGAGGGGTTGAACGAACGATTTTTCTGTACACAGAAATCTGACTTTTCTGTTTCGATGGCAACAGCTGCTTCAGCAATACAGATGAGTCGGGTACGTAATGATTCGGGCAAGTTACTTTTCGTCTTGTAGATGGATTTATAGGCGAAGACTGTAGAGATGGGGTGATCATTATCTCTCCACTTCCCC